TCTCTCTCTCTCTCCCTCCCTCCCTCCCTCCCTCTCTCTTTCTCTCTCTCTCATCATTCTGCGTTTTTCGTTCCCTTCTCTCTTCTTTTCACCTTTGTCTCTCTTCGCGAATCCTTTGACGCTATATGTAAACGGAGACACTCTCGGCATACTGCCGGATATCACATGTTGGAAAGTTCGTATTGTCTTCTTTCATTCGCGACGTCGTAATGCATTCACGGTGCTCTGAACACGATGGAAAAAAAAAAAACGGTAGAAAAAATCGCCACCGATAACAACAATTAAGCGAACTAAGCAAACGAAAACATTCAAGTACGAGAGATCATATTTCAGATCTCTCTGGATATTAAATATCTCTTAAATTATACTCTCCGATATCCTATATAATTTCAATTATGTAAGGTTCGCCGTGTAATTCTTAACTCATCCAATTCGAGACGCTCCTCCTCCCTGTTAGCGGCGGTAAAGAATCGTTTACATTTAGATAGCAGAGCAAAAGCACGATTTTTTTTCTTATTTCTATTTGCCGACCTCTCGCCGTCGCTCTCTTTGCGAGGAAACGGAAACTCAATATCGTCCTTTTGAAGGGTCACGATTCCCTCTCTCCTTATCCGCCTGGCGAAAAGTAACTTTAAAAACACCAATGTACGTCTCGGCGTGAGGAGAGCGTAAATTTTTCAAAGAACTTAATGTACGGCACTCTAAGAAAACCGAGGTAACGCGAGCCAGTTAAATTTAGCGTTTCGGAAGCATTTTTTGCTTATTCTGCTTTCGATTTCGCGGTCGCTCGCGGAGCCATTAAGTCACAGAGAGAGATTGACAGAAAGCTGACAGACGATATGGACAGATGACACCACCATGATTTAAACGCTTCCCCACTGAATAGAAGAGGCGCAAGAACACGCCGCAAAATCGTCTCCTGCAAGCGGGAAAGAACGGGAAGAAAAGTGAGGTGCGCAAAGAAAGCGAATCCGCGGTGAAACGAGGAGGATTCTCAAATGGACGTAACGAGTTCTCCGCAGTTTCCCCGTTGCTTTTTGTGCGCTGCCGTCCACCCCCTGTTCCACTCTCGCACTTACCTTTCCCTCCCGTCCCCCAGGTCTCACGAAAAGCAGCAATTTTTCCAATCCCTCTTAGATAAGACGCTTTAAAAGAGAGCGCCGTAACAAGTCGCTATTTTCCTCGGTGACGAGGAGAAAAATAAACTGGGGAACGTCAGCGGTAACAGGTGCATACGCAAAGGGTTAACAGACAGTAGAAGGAAAGACAAAGTGCTCGGGCGCGCTTGGAATCATAAGACATGTTGCCGCCGCCGTAGCGACCGAGGATATAATAAATATTCTGGGTAAATGTACGCAGGCCGTCCCGCCGCGTTCTCGAGGACGGCGATATTTCACGCGCCGCGAGATGAGCGCGCGGCACGCATGCGGATTTATGCGGCAAATTGTTTTTCGCTCTTCTTGTTTGCCAACGTTCAGCCCGAGCGTGTGTATAAGGAGCACGCGAGAAATCCACGCCGATAGGAAGGAAGATGAATACGATAAAAACTTAATTGTCCGCGAAGGATAGATAGGTCTATCTCTCTGGTTCTCCTTCGGGCGCGGTGTAAATTTACAACTCTGCACGGAACAAAATTTATGCCGTTGGAAAATTTGTGTCAAATGTACTACATTTCGCATGTGCCACTCTAATTTTTGTGTCGATTTAAAATAAGATGAAGACGTTAAAAAATAACACAGACATCGAGACAGATATTGTGTAAGAATAACAATAAAGAAAATTTGTTTCAAAATACACCACTTTTATGTTACTTATTCACTAACTCATATAAATTGTCATTTTGACACTAAGAAAAACGTTGAATATCAATTTAATACAAAATCTTTAAATAATATTGAGTTGGAGAAAAATCCTTTTACACATACATATGTATGTTCAAACCACCAATTATTGCGAAATTTTCGTTTTTTTAGGGGGACACGTGAAAGATCCACAAAGTGAAAAGAAAATTTTTCATCTTTTTCAGCTCGTAATTTTTTATATGTAAAAATTATCAAACTCACAGAAACTAAAAAAAATATAGTAACCTTTCGAAAGTAGAGATTTCAAGCTTTAAAAACCCCTCTTTTAAATTTCGTTCATTTTTAACGAAGATATTGTAAAATAAAGATTCTTTTATATAATATGTAAAAAGACTTTTCCCCGACCCAATATAATCACATTTGTGTTGAATTTAAACTAAAATATGATAAAAAATTCAACATAAATGGTTAACAAGAACGTGGATGGACCATTTCCAACATAAACATACAGTTTTTTTCCGTATTGCTAGATACAGATCTAAAAATATTTTTTGTTACATTTTTTCAAAATAATTATATAGAATACTCGAGCAGGTCGCTAGAATGTCAAAAATTTTTTTAGTTTATTGTTTTTTAGTTTATTGTTTTTTAGTTTATTGTTTTTTAGTTTATTGTTTGTCATATTAAGTGTTCTATATAATAATTTGAATAATCCAACAAAGTAATATATTTTCAGATTTATACCTAGTTAAATTTTTAAGTTTATCAAATTCTTTCCGTGTGTGATTAATGAGAAGGGAAGTTTGTCCAATATTCCAGCTGAATTGCGAATAAAGATTCGATCGATTCGCGTTCTGCCCATTTTTTCGCGCATATTTTTCTCATGATTGTATAATCGCGCTAATCAATCGAGCTGACTTACACGGAGTAGATTGCGAACGAAATTGCAGTCAAGTTGCGAGAACCGTGTTTGCGGAACGTCGGCGAGCGCGACGATGCAACGGAAAACAGTACGATCAAATGGATGCCTGTGTTGCCCCGAGGTAACGTTGGAACGAAACCCGGAAATACACAGTTTCGTTCCCGTTGTACGGAATCTCTATTTCGCAATACTATTCTCGGGTATGTATGAATAGAAATCCGAGAGAAACTGTCATTTTAGCACTTGGTCTTCTGATGCCAGATATGTGTCCACCTCCGACGAAAGAAGAGACAGGTCGCAAATCGATCGAAGAATTCCGGG